GGAACGTTTCCAGCCATCTGTGTGGAGGCCTGCAGAGGTGGGAAGGAGCTGAACTCACTCCCTAAATAGTGGGAAACTCTGGGGTGGCTAGGTTAGTCCTGGGGGAGCAGTGTGTGCACCAGTGTCTGAGAAACAGCTTGCCAGAGAGCACATTCCTTAGACTGGGAAGAAGGCAAATGGACACGGTTCCCTCCCCTGGCAGGTGTCAACAGGAGCCTACAAGCGTCAGGTACATGAAGTCCCCTTGGGGAAACAGGTAACTGAAGCTGTGGTCATTGAGAAGATCACCTGGGCCTCCTGGACAAGGTAATGAGGAAAACACTTCTGGGGAAAGGTCATAAGGGATTTCTGGTCATAGATTCAGCTTCCCGGTTTAGGTTTGGTTGGGGTCTGAGCTAGCTCAGACATGGAGTTATTTCTTTGGGGAGTTACTAGTCGGAAGCTTCTTGGCATTAGTTTGAATCACAGCTTGATCTGACCTGGCCTTTGGAAACATGGAGAACCTCTTAGTGTAATCCATCCTGTAAATCCTTAACCCCATCGTTAAGTTCTAACAGAAACCACCTCCAGGCTCTTGGTTAGCCCAGGTGCCAGGACGAGGCGGGAAGCCCCAGGCAGAAAACACTGCCTTGCCAATTCAAGAGAAAGGGGCAACCCCCCTGAAATCTGGAAACCTCACTCCTCCCCCAAACATGCATATGCTCAGGACCTATGGGGTGCTGGGAGGGAATCAGAGATGGACTTTTCTCTGGGGTGTAAGGAACCACAGCAGAGGAGAACAGTAAACACTGGGGCAAGTGTCCAGAGGTGGGAGACAACAGCTTTCATACCCAAAGAGCCCTATGACCTTACAGATTCATGCAAAATATTCCTCGTGTCCCTGGGTAAGGATGGCTGACTGCAGAAAGCTGCCTCACACCTCCTCCTAACACCTCTTCCTGTTGGAACAGCATTCTGGGAGACGAAGTCATTGGCATCTGGCCACGAAATGCAGACAAGGCTGATGTCAACTGCGCATGTGTGACCCATGCTGGCCTGAACATTGTCACAGGAGATGACTTTGGGCTGGTGAAGCTCTTTGATTTTCCATGCACAGAAAAATTTGTGAGTCTTCCTTAGAGTAACCTCCCTGTACTGCCCCAGGCTGTCTTCCTCTGCAGTCTGAGTTAGAGATCACTCTAGAATTTAACACAAGAGGAATCTTTTCCAACTCTGGAGATCTGGCAACACCTTTTTAGCAACCTTTGGAGAAGCCAGAAGGTAGAAAGGAGGGTAGACAAAAAGGCCACAAGTGAGGCAAGAATGAGACAGGAAAGTCAGCACAAGTACGGCTAACAGGCCAAATGGGAATCCCATGAGTTGAGAAAGGTTCTGGGATGAGGGGAGTTACTGGGAGAAGGGGCCTCTGAGCCATCTATATTCACTTTTGCTTCACAGGCAAAACACAAGCGTTACTTTGGTCACTCAGCTCATGTTACGAACATCCGTTTCTCTCATGATGACAAGTACGTGGTCAGCACTGGAGGAGATGACTGCAGGTAGCAACCTCATAAACCTGCTGATACCCCAAGCTCGACCCTTACCCCCTCACCCCCTCTTTACCTCAGGCATCCCTAGAGTCAGCCCTTCCCAGGGGCCTGGTAAAGGACTGATGTGAGTAGTAAGCAAAACTTGATGAGTCCTAATGAAGACAAGGACTTTCTAAAAACAAGGTGCTTAATCTCAAAGCCCAAATCTTCACTGGCTAGTACCCAGCGAGCACTGTCCCCGGGTTGGTGAGAAGCCCAGGAGGTGGGGCACCTACTCCAAGCATTGCCCGGTTGAGGGAAACAAAAGCCGGTTTACTAGGGCCTCCTAACAGTTCGTGGCATCATTGCATATCACCAGATTAGAATGACTGTGTTCCGAGGTCTTATACGAACTCCCAATTGATCACTGGTTCTTAAATGATTCATCTACAACCGAGATCTTTAAATATCAGTAATATAGATCACAAGCCACCCTGAGAAATACGCCCAGCAAGGGTCACCTGACTAGACACAAGCTTGGATGAGGAGTGCATGTTAGCCCCAGTGCTAGTCAGCAGGACCCAAGTATGTGGGCTCCTGAGCTAGAGCTGCTTTGGCCCAAACTGCCACTCAGTGAAATGGGCCTTTGCTCTCCCTGCACCACTTTTTTAAATTTGGAGTGTGGTGAAAGACGTGGTTATTCTGAGTCACTCAGCTTCTCCACATTTGACAGTTGAAGGGCTTTATGGAAATACAAATAAACTGGTTTCTGTTTAGCCCAAGCTAAAGTCTTGGGGAGCAGAGAGTGAAGAAATGCATGCACTTGGGTATTTTTTAATAGCTTGCGTGAATTTATATAGAGTACATGTAGAGAATTTCAACTCATTTTCAGGTAAAACAAAAATCACTGAAGAAAACTGACCCACCAACAGCTTCCGGTGCCAACAGCTGCTGGCACCGGACCCCTTGAGACAAAACTGGCAGCAGCTCCCTCAGAAATGTAATCACCCCTTCAAACAGCACCAGCGCCAGCCAAACTCTGTGAACAATCTAGCAGTAAAAGACAGCAAATTGGTCACCCCAGTGCAAAAGATATAAGGTGACTAGATTCCTATAAAAAGGTTTAGACAGCCTTTAAAACACAGGGCCCCTTGGCAATCACGGGAGCATGCTCTGACCATGGCTCTACGCTAAGCACTACAAAGTGCTCTTCTACTGTAGTGGAACTGATAAAACCATTTCAAAAGTTAACAAGGGAGATAGTGTGAAGTCAGGTTGCCAAAGTCCTCAAATTCAGCAGCCACTCAGGCTACTCAACCAGACTCAACACAACATAATAGAACTTTAAAAAAAAAAAAGGCAGCAGACCTAGAATTGATACCAAGGTCCCTAGTTTGCTTTTTGACTTCAAAATAGATGTTCTAACCATCAGCTGAGCTTCACTCGAGTACTCTGCAGGAATTGTTTTCTGTCATTTGATAAAAAGCATGTCTAGCCATGCAAAGTAACTATGGTCTGCTTTTTCAGTGTATTTGTGTGGCGATGCCTATAAATGCCAGAAACCTCTTCTACTGCTGCTGCTGCTGCTGCTCCCACCCAGCAACTGCATAGGCAGTGACGAAGGGTCCTCAACCACTAGCCAGCTGCTGGGAAGCACCCCGATGCTGCAGGCTGCATAACTCTCTAAGTGCTGGTGAAGTGGTGTGGCTGCTCCCATCGTCTGGAGTTTCCAAGAGTATAATGCCAAGAAAGAAGGTCAGTTCTAGATGTTCAAACTGCTTGCCTCTGAGACTGAAAACTGTATGTCCTGACAAAAAAAAAATGCTGATAATGTAGCCCTCTGACAAAATTTAAAGCCTCAGTTACCCTAATATGTAGCTTTTGATTTGCAACAAAACTTTTACAAAAGATGTTTTGCTATTATTTCTATATACTTTAAATACATTCATTTTTACAAATAAGTTGACTAAGACAATTTAAGTTAGATGTAAGAAGTCCTAGAAATATTGATAGTTTGTTCTCCATACTTAGCTTTCAAAACCAAATGAGCCATGTATAAAAAAGTTGAGAAACTTAATTTTGTAATGTTTCATTTGCAGAGTTTTATATCCATTAAGTGCCTTTGAAAGTTTCTAGTTGTGTGGGCTGCCATCTCACCTCCCACAAATTGTCTCCTTTAGAAATATGGTGCTAAAATCTCCAAACTGAGGAGGGCTACAAGACCCTTAGCTGATTCCAGTGTCACCCACGTCAGTTGTTTATGTCAAGGCTTCCTGAGTGAGAAATATGTTACCTACTTAGGAAATGGTGGCTCTAGGGAGGTGAGCAGGACGGAACTTAAATTCAGGAGGAAGGAGGTAGAACAGGTTTTTGTTAGTTTAGTGCCAAACCTACGAATCCACAATAGAGTTGAAATAAAATCAACCAACTATAAGATGGAAACACACAAACAAAAAAAACCCTCAAGTGGGTTTAAATTTGTCACATTAAACTTAAAAATATTAATAACTGAGGTGACTGGACATGGTGCTGGGTTTATCACTCCCAGAGTGCAGGATACTTGGTTCCACTGATTTGCTTCAAGTCACATCATGCCTGGGTAAGTTCAGACTGAGTTGATAAATCAAGATTATAAATCAAAATAGTCTGGAGTTGCTCAGAATTGGCTGGATGACAACATTGGCTGTGACTTGGCCATTAACCCAGACATCCCAGACCACCTCGGTCACACTTTACAGCTGGCCCAGCTGCCATGGAGGGGTCTGCTATGCACTGGATGGCAGGCCGGGGCTGGGGCTCAGCACAGACACACCAGTTAAGTCTTTATGGTCAGTGAATTAAGTTCTGAATATTGTGTTAGTATTCGCAGTTCTCTGTTTAGAAATTTTCAAATAGATTAACATTTACCACAGAAGTGCTTCAGCATTCCAACTGGACTAGGGCGCTCATTAAGCTATTTTTATATGCCAGTTTATTAATGCCTTACATTAATCCCCTGGTATGTTGCTGGGCCCACAATCGGAGTCTGTACACAGTCCTGATCCTGTTTCCTGTAACCACGTGACTGGTGACGTGCAGGATGACCATGTCTGCCTGTATTGTACCACTGCTAACCTTTCATACTGAGTGGATCATGCATTGAAATAACAACATGGAAAAACAATGATATATGTACAACTATATCTAAACAGCAATAGTGTCTGTGTGTCAAGAAAACTTCTTAAATTTTATTTGTAAACATTTATATGGTATGATTTTATGTTAAATTATTCAAATACCAGTGCATGAATTTATTTTCAGTTATCAAAATACAAAAATCCTAACTTATCATTTTGGTATGTGTCTAATAAATTTGATTATGTAAATATGTTCTCTGTTAACTTTTGTCTTCAAAGTAAACACAGCTGCACCATAAGCCGCACATAGCTCAAGCAATGGGGGCCTTACCCTTTGCGTACCTGCTACAGCTTAATGAAACTAAAATACCAAACATAAATTAAGTCTATAAGCTTTATTGATACTTCGCTTTTACAGTTCACAATGCATTCCACAGATTTAATTCAGTACAGCTTAAACCACAATTGTATAAATCTTCATTTTATAATTTCTTGCATAACAATGTTTGATATTTGCAAACATTTTGGGAAGCATTAGATTCAGTCCATAGAGTCTGTCACAAAACTAACTACAGTAAGTCTGTGCAATGAAGTTTTTACATGAGGAGTTCTAAGTGCGTGGCATTTCAGGTTGAAAACAGATGATAGTGCTCCTGGAAGTGAATTTTCTTTTTCTAGCTTATGTGCTTTGGAACTACAGACGTTATGACCAGTGACTCTCTTGACATCAAGCACTTCAAGCACTGTGGGGCAGCCGGAAGGTAAAGGTCAAAGCTTTGTGAAACACTATATATAGATATATATATAATCTATATTTACTTATATTGGCAATTAATATAACAGTAAAATTCACAATACACCTAGAACATACCAGAAAGGCAGCTTCTAATTATCTGCCTTAGTGGTATGATCTCGCCTAAACATTTCATTTCAGACAATCTGCATCAATCTACACAGACCATACACAGTGCACAAACTGTGGGAAAAAAGTTATGTTTTTCAGCTCCATTTTCTCTGCAATTCCCCAAATACAGCAAGACTATCTCCAAAACATACAGCTTTCTCGGATCGTTTTTATTTACCAGTGCCTCCTATAGGTAAAACAAATATGATTACGGTTTAAATCCATACATAGCAGCTTACAATACTTAAGATGCACACATGGCAGTCAGACAGGTAATTCTCCTGACACTGCGTTGCTAAAAATAAAGATCTGTAAAACTGCACTGCAATGTCAAGGCTTCATTCTTCCCTGGCCCTCCCCCATGTAATCAAATGAATATCCCCTTAAAGATAAACTACTGTTAATTATTTCAGGCTTTTTCATTCAGCTTTGCGCTTCAATCCAGGGATTTTTGCTTGGATTCTACAAATGAGAAGGAGGGAAAAATAGGTAAATGTAAGTACTTAAAATTTGTGAAGTATTTGTTTAGTCCTTCAAATATCATTCTACAAGAGTAATAGGACTTCCTTATTAACAACTTTCACGTCCTGATAAATGCATTGTAAACTGAAAAGATAAGCTAAGAAAATGGATTTAGTATACCCACCTTAGGCGCGCTCAGTATCAGCCTACTGTTGGGCAAAACCAGCCCCAATAAACACGAAGCCTGTTTATCATAAAGAGCTGGTCACATACTTGATGAGACTTCATACAGAATAGTGCGTGCTGGTTTGCTAGCTTTGGGGTTGCGTGGCTAACGGAGCTTGTGCTCTGCAGCCTCTCTACTCTCTTTGCACCAAGAAGGTAACAGAGTATGTCCATAACCCAAGAAAAGACCAGAATTTGAAGCATGGTTTCCATTACATGTATCCACTTTCACACCATCATTAAGCTGGGAACCTTTTATACTTGAATATTGCTTAGCTTACACAAGACACGAAATCCTACGGCTGTTAAACTACAGGCTGTAATTATGCCACATTTGCCTTATTTACTAGACTTAAATACACATAGCAAACCCAGAAATTAATGACTCAACTGTTAGAAATTTTTTTAGCAACTCTGATGTCACACTTTAGGTCTGATGGAGATCTGCTACTCATTAAGCTCTAAACGTAGACCTAGGATACTACAACCAAGTCCAGGGCGCCTTCTCCTTAGTATAAAAAAGTTGCAGATTTAAAATACTTACTTAGCCATAGCATCTTTAACATTCTTATTTGCAAGTCCTAGATAGTGATCTATCTGTGCCTGAAAGAGAAATGTGTGAGAATGATTAGAAAATTACCACTGCTAAAGAAGCTGGTTAACCATTACTGTGTTCTAACAATTGGGTAAGTTCCACTTAATAGAGTAAGTTCTCTGTCCTGAAGTCTACCAATGAGGAATTACCTGATGCCGTTCATAAATAACTGGAACGCTGAAGAGTGAAATCAGAGCTGAAAAAGTAAATACACAATCTCTTAGAAAGAGTGGTATGACTTTGGGAAAACTAAAAAATTCTCAAAATGGCAAAACTTTAAAGTAAACACCCAAGACTCTCCTAACTGCCACTGCTTATGGGGAGTCACTACCCAGGCAAGGGGAGAATTACTCAAGGGGGACGGCAGGACCCATTCTAGCTTCAAATGATATCACACAGACTATGTAGTATAGCAATCCCTGATGAGAGGTGAGTGCACCCCGTCAGATAAGACTGCCCTGTGTCTGGTTAGCTGGAACGGTCTTTAGAACAAAGGTAGCATTTCATGGCCCAGCAATTCCACTCCTGGGGATCTACCCAAAGGACACAAAAGGATACATGCACCCCTATGTTTATTACAGCACTATTAGGATAGGGAAAACCTGGAAACAACCCAAATGGCCAAAGGAGGTGTGGTATAAATTCACAATGGAATACTACTCAGCAACCAAAAAAAGATAAACCTATGCCATTTGCAGCAAAATGAACAGAGCTAGAAGGGATCATGCTCGGTGAAGTAAGTCAGAAGAAAAAAGAAAAAATATTGAATGGTTTCACTTATGGGAGGAATATATAAGAGAACCAAGTAAGAAATAGGGAAACAAAATTGTACTGCTACAGACAATTATAAATCAGAGATATCTTACAGGGGAAAGGGGCAAACAGGGATCGGGAAGAGGGAGGGAGGAATGTGGGGGACTATGGTGATGACAAGTGGGCGAAGGGGGGGGGACATTGTTTTTAAATAAACGAAATGTAAATAGAGATATAAATTAATAAAAAAATTTAAAAAGAACTAATAGCATTTCAATAAATTGTAACAGTTTAAAGAGATTTAAAGGTTACAATCTCAAGCACACACACTTCTACAATGAGAATACTGTCCTCTAAAATGCTTGACAATCTTTTTAATACAAATTTTCATTCCAAAGATTTTGCTGACTCACCCAAAATCAGAAGTGTCAGACCATTAAACAAGGCACCAACATAGGTAAATACCCACATCAACACTGCAAACTATAAGAAAATAATGTTAGCTTATTGAAAACAATTCAAGTAAAGTTTTCTGGTAAAGATTTCAAATAAAAGCATCCCATTTACATGCTAACATATTAGACATAGTCCTTGGAGATTTGGTAAAGTAGTAACATATATGCCCCTTTAAGTTACCAATCAGTATTTCAGAATCCTAATCAAAATAATAGATTTTATCCACTTTCTCTAGACTGCACTACCAACATCAGAAAACATGGCAATGGTAGATCCTCCCCGTCCCCAGCTCTAATAGCACCTAGCTTTTAAATGGGAAGGCTGAAAAGATATTATGAGAATTAGCTACTAAAACTGATTTGAAAAGTACTAACAGATTAAATCCTCATAAATAAGCTGAATAATTCAGACAATAAAATCTCAAATAGCTAAATAAGCAACAATAAGACAGTGCTTATTAGGGAGACTAGCTCCAGGTACCAGTTTATCACCTCAACCCTAGACTAAGGATTTCTCAAGTTTTTATAGTTATGATTAAAACTGATCATTATTCTTTTATTTAAACATGAGTACAGTTTTGTATTCTTCATTTATGCCAGGCAATGTTTAAAACACTTTGAAAATACAAACTCACTGATTCTTAACTTCATGAGGTTAAGTGAAATATTACCACAGCAGATGCAGACATAGAGAATAAAAGCCGGATAGGCAAACTGTTTTTAGAAAATGTTAGGTGTTGTGAGCCCCTTAGTCTGTCATATTATCCTCTGTTATATCTAAATACCAGCCTTTAAAAAATATATAAAATACGGGCCCTCCCTGATGGCGCAGCGGGTTAAAGCACAGCACTGAGAAACTAAAGCCACTTCCGCATGAGTTCGATTCCCGCCTGCCCCGGAGGTGACCACATGGCACGGCAGACCTCTCCTGACCCGCCCGCTGCTCCCCTCAGCAGTGTACTTCGTCCATCTGCCTGTTCTGCTCTCCACTCTGTCTCTGGTGACGCCTCTCACCACCCCTGAGCCTCTGGCCTGTACCCCAGTTCTGTATGTAAAAATAAATAAATAAATCTTTAAATATATATATATATATAATCCATTCTGAGCTCCCAAGATATACAAAAAGAGGCCATGAGCTCAATCCGCAAGAGTCTGATGACCCTTAATCTAAAATTTATTTTTTCTCCACATATTCATTCTTTCAGAAAACTCAAAAACACCTTACTGATTACTATCCCTGCCTATAGCAGGGATTCACACATACTAGTAAGCAAATTATTGCAACTCAGGAGAACACTGAATTCTTCCACCAACTGTCTGTTCTACAAATAACACTGGCATTAACCCCCAACAAAATTTATTGTTCAAGTGTATAAATGCCAAGCATAACACCTGTCAATGGCAAAGAATCAAAATTTAAATGCTGTACTGGTCTTAGCAACCACTTGAGCACCACTGGTAGGACGGACTGAAGCACAACTATCGTCAACAAGCCCTTCCTTGCCAGTCTTACAGACCTCTGCTGCAGAGCTAAATATAACCTGTACTTGAGCAGTTAACTGTAGAGCAGCAGAGCTATTTTTACATATCACATCCACAAGTCTAAAGGAAAGAGTCAACCTTCCATATTTTAAATAAATAGCTTTAGCAATAACCTTACCCATGATACAAAATTCAGACATTCACATACACAAGTCACTGATAACAAGGCCTCACTCCAAATCCACAAGGAAAGCCCAAAACTTCACACAGGACCATGTGAGGGGGTCAAATGTCATGTGGAGGACACTCCTAAAAGCTGTTTTTCTCCAGGCAAAGATAAAAACTTCAACAGGAGGTTTGAGAAGGCCTGAGGTATACCGATAGAAATACCTCAAGTAGGCAACCACATTCTAGCTTCACACTGTTGCCATGGAAGTATTTCAGGCCAGCATTTTCCCATTTTAAGAGAAACCAGAAATTCACATCCCTATGTGCTATCACAGAATTTTTAAACATTTCAGCAAAGTCTGGAGAAAATTTAACACTTTGGGTGCCCAAAACAAAACACTAGGTGAGGGCTTATGGAGAATGATAGAGGGCAGCAAGGGGCACTAAAACTGGCCAAAGACACTGCCCAATGGTTTACTGGTCACTGCCTGAGTTACAACTCATCCTAAATCCACATTAAATACATTATCCATGAAGAAGTGGGAAATCAAGATACAAAAAGTTAAGCCAATAACCAGACAGGTCACTGATCTCAGATTTATTTGATTCCAGAATCTGCTCTGCTGTAAAACTACCTACAGAGCAACATTACTACGGATTCATCACAAATGTGCATGCTACCGTAAGAGGCATAAAAAGGTCACTGAGCATTTTAAAGAAGGAAACAGGCAGCTCTTGTTGTGCAACTACAAATTTCATGTTACTCCATGATGAATAGCTGATGCACCACATACAGCTGATGCATAATTTAACTAGATTAAAGTTCACTTCTTTGGGCAGCAATGAGGCTGGAGAAACACACTGCAAATAGGATTTAATAAATAAATATGGAAAAAAGGCGAAGGCCATGTCTTTTTTCCAGGGAAACAAGGCTATTAAGTTTATGTCTGTATCACATACCTCATTAAAAAGCTCTGCAGATTTGTATTGGCTGTTTCACTTTGGGGTGGGTTTGCATTTTTTGGGGTGGGGGATGGAATAGAAGGGTGCTTAACAGAATTTCAGAAATTACTTTGGCAATACATTATTTTTTTTTCTGTATTCTTAAACAATAAAAATTTGACCTTTTAAAAACATCTTCAGTCTCCTATTTTTTCATTGAGACAAAGAAATCAGAAAGAAAACTGTCAAAATGTGCATGTTAATAACTGCATAAGAGCCTGAGGACTAGATTTTAATGTTCTTTTGGGTCACCTATTTCTGGAGTTCAGGCCTTTTTTGGCTCAATTTCAGATATAAGGTTGAATTCTAGAACATTAGGTTGCCTAAGCAGGCAACCACAGCCAGAAATTTTCTTGGAAGCAATACTAACAGAGAATTGTCACATTGAATCTTGGATTTATCATCAAAATTTCATTATAGAAAAATGAGTCTTCACCTAAAATCTGTGGTCTTGGTCTGTAGTATATAAAATCACTAAGCTCAAGTTTTGGGGTTTTAGAAGGTAATACACTCTAATAAATCTAAGAGTAATTCAAAAAGCTCCAAAACTAAGCAGGAATTTTCACAAGCTTTTCTTTTTACAGTGGGGGGTAGGAAGACAGGCAACCGGAATAAAACTATAAACCAGGGTTCATAACTAAATGTACTTTTCAATAACAGTGAATCTTCAGACATTATCTCCAGAAAAATCCTATCAGAATTTCAGGGGGTGGGGTCTTCATACCAATTATCAGTAAATTTCAACATTCCCTAGTGATCCCAAGAGCAGTCAAGACTGAGATCGTTTTAAACACAGTAAAGGTCCCTTAATATAGGAAATTACAGAATTAAACCTTAACTAGATGGTTTGTTCAACTATCTTATACTAGTCTTATGGTGGTAAAGTTATTTAAAATAAACAAGAGGCAGGTATTACGCTAGGTTAAGGTATCCAGTCTCCGACTTCTCTGATCTGAGACTAATAAACTAACAATCGCCAGATTCTCTGAGAGAGGAGAGACAACCTCCCACTCAGTCACTAGAAAACATGCCTCCTTTACTGCCACCCATCTCCTCCTCCACCTTCTGACAAATGGTGAAACAAACCCACTTTAAGAAATAACTTTTAAAATAACTGTTCAAGACTTCTGCTACAATGAAGTTTTGTACCAATATCAGAAACAAGTAGTACTGAATGGAACTGGAAATAATTTGTCAAAATAGTAACTTGCCCATTAATATTTGACAAGAATTACTACTCAAGCTATGGACATTTATAATCCTTTCTAGGCATTTAGACCCTACTAAAACTTCAAAAGATGCAAAACAAAATTTAAGAAATTTGCAGAACTTTAAAGATATTTACAGTTTATGTAAGTTAATGTTATATCCAGAGAAACATAGATTAAAAAGTAAGAAAATGTCTTTATCTGTCCAAGACAGCTACCAAAAAGAGGTGAGACCTGGAACCAAGTCCATACAATGACATTAAAAAAAAAAATTTCACTGACGCTCACCCATTGTAGTAGGACAAGATTTAACAGAATCGTTCATGCATACTGACAAGATTATATACAAAAATTTCATACCTATCACCTTACTGTCAGGAGCAAGACAGAGAGACCCGACTGTGCATTCTTAAGCCATGACAAATTTTCAAATTTAAATACAAAGTTCAATTATTTGTTAATAATCTGAAGCAGGGCCCTCCCTGGTGGAGCAGCGGGTAAAGCCAGCACTAAGAAGCTTAAGCCACTTCCACATGAGTTCGATCCCCGCCTGTCCCTGAGGAGATCCACATGGCGCGCCAGACCTCTCCTGACCAGCCCGCTGCTCCCCTCAGCAGTGTACTTCCTCCATCTGCCTGTTCTGCTCCCCGCTCTGTCTCTGGTGAATCCTCTCACCCTCCACATCTCTGGCCTGTACCCCAGTTCTGTATGAATAAATAAATAAATCTTAAAAAAAAAAATCTGAAGCAACTGTACTTATCTGGAGCCCGGAGTGAATCACCTTCTGTGGATGTCAACAAGCAGCTTTCCTAACCTTAAAACAACTACTTGGGGAAGGCCACTCAAAAGTTTTTTATCTTTTATTTACTTATCTTCTTCCCAAAATTACTGCTAACCCTTAAGGAGAAAAGTAAATCCTAATTCCTAATAGAAGCCTTTTTATTCACTCTTAGGAAACAATATTTGAAAAAACATAAGAAAACATAGTAAACATCAAGTGTTCCAGGAAGTATCTATGAGTCACTTTGGTTCCTTTTAATTAACAAAGTTACTTAGAGGCAAAAAGTTAACCGAGTTCAATTTCTGTCATTTATTTTCTTCTTCCTCAACATAATTGCTTACAAGAAAAAAAAAAGCCCTAATTTTCAAAAAAAATCTAACAATGACATTTAACAGAAAACATTTTTTGTCTCATAATATTTATTAATAAACTTCCTATTACCCTATCAAATATCTAGACAAAATAGATTCAAAAAGACTTTAAAGTATTTAATCAGGTCTCATCTAATGTGTCACACTCTTTTAACAGCTTATAGAGAACTATATGCAGATAACAATAAACTATCAAAAGTTATATTTGGATTGTAGACAAGTAGAAGCTTTAAATTCAAAGTTGTAAATCTGGATACAGGAAATCATTCCCCTATCAATTTTTTTGTTTTCTAATTTATTTCCTCAGGAATGCCTCTTCACTCAAGAAAAATGTTGAATTACAGACATGCACAGCTGCTGTAACTGCCACACTGTGTAAACATGAAGAATGGCTTGGTGTATGTCTGCTACAGTTTTTACTAAGTCTATAAAAACAACTGTCTCCTCTATCAAGCTTCACAGTGCTTTTGTTTGACGTCAACCTCACACACACTGATTTCTGACAGTCCTTCACTGTTTGAAGCTCTGCCACTATTTATATAGCCTCCCTGCCCACATCGGCACTCACAAACCCTTCACCGCAGACTACACAGCACCTTCTCAGTGAGATTCCCACATGTTCTACAAGTTATACATAGCAAGTATCACTTCCCTATGTAAGGACTGATTTGGAAGTGGTTTCTTCTAGGATTTGTGTGTACAAGATTTGACATCATTTATTCTAAAATATTTTTGTTCTCATTTGAAACCAAATAATCAAGTATCCAAAATAGCATAATCAAGCTCATATCCAATAAACTCAAAATAAAAGATACAAAATGCAAGCACAGAATAAAATACTAAATGCAAGCACTTTATACAAAAGACCTAAGTAATCAAATAAAACTAAATTATATGTACAGTTAATGTTATCCAACTCTCCACCTTGCAGAAGCACACAGCTGAAAGTAATGCCCATTTACTGGGTTATGAAGACCAAGACCAAGAAATATGTTATAAGTATTTTGAGCATTTAAACCTCTTGACTAGTTTAGAAATAACTTCATTGAGTCTAAATACCTAACCACCCTATTGCTATCATATCCTCTGCTTGGATAATAATTACACATTAGTACATATCTTTTGGAAAAGAAAAAAATTTTAATTGCCACCACACTGATTTTCTCAACATGGTTACACTGGAAATGAGTCTGTCTTAAGCAGAGTCACTGGATCTAGCACACAAAACACAAGGTCTATATAAAGGAAAAACACTGAAGTCCAGTGCTTAGGGCTTAGGGCTCAAGTTACATGACTTTATCACTAGTTCTGAGTCAGACTGAACTTGGAGAGAATTTATGTACATACAAGGTAAGGGTCTTAATAACTGTCAGGTAGCAAGATCCAAAAACCAAAGAAAATTTCCAATGAATACCAATTCAAGATTAATTGAGGTGTTTCCAAATATTAAATAATATTAAATAACATTTCAAGAGTTCAAGATACAAAATAGCTAATGTGAAGATGAAGATAAGAAATTAAATAGCAGACACTTTATGATAAGTATATTAAATTCATCACCATCTATAATATGTTTTGCTTTTAAAAGAAACTATTTTCCCTCATCTTAAATATACAGGTTCTAAATTTTAAAACATAACTGTATGTTAATATGATTTCATCTTATCATTTACTTGAATATGGAGAAAAAATTTTCACTCAACTCCTTTCACGTTAAATCTGAGTATGTCAAAAATAAGCAACTAAACTTACCTTCAGAGAGTCAACTAAATCATCAACTAAGAAGAGGCGTCTGAGTTCTTTTATTGTGCAGTTCACATGACCAAGAGCAGAATTACTATATTTCTGAATCAAGTCCTCAGATATAGCCACTTCAGATTCCAAGTATGCCCTAGAACACAAGACACATCACACAGTCACCAAGAGCAGTGGTTGTCCCTAGATGTTTGCCCGTTAGCAATTGTATATCTATAAAAAAATATTAATAAAATGTTTTACTTATAAAGCCTATTGTTTCCCAATTAAGCACAATGTAGTTCATTAATATGCTCTGTCAGTTAGTTGACTAACTTAGAAACCAACATGAATTTTGAAGATAGACTGACCTGAGGTTGACAAACTACATTATTTGAGCTGGCCTAGACATTGCTATTTAGGCTGAACTTAGGTGAGAATTAAAAGGCCTGCTACTTCCTGACTACATAATCTTGCAAAAGGCATTTCACTTTTATACATCATGAAAAATTGTAATTCCCCAAATGGAAAATTTAGATAAATATACTTTTTAAAACCCTTTCTGCTTCAAACATTACACATTCTATGGTTCCTACTTTTCAAGCAATTGTCCTACATCTTTCCTATTTCCCACTATTCACTATGCTTCAGTCAAACATGAACCATTTTAAACATTTTTACATTTTAATGTCTGTAATTCACCCGTTTCTCTAATTCACAACGTTCTCTTACACTACTGATAGCACATCCAGCCAGCCAGTACCACCTTAAATCCCACCCAAAAACAAAGTGTTTTTATTCTCTTCCCAAGACCTGACTATATAACTCAGATAATGCTCTTTTGTATTATTCTTTTAGTATTTACCATGTCTGGCCGTGAAAGATGGACAAGAATATAGATATATGCTTTTGCTACTACAGTATAGACCACTAAGGGCCAGAATATTATCTTCATTGGCACAATGATCTCTTCGGTAACTGTTATTTATTAACCAACAATGTTACAAGTTAAAAATGTTCAAAGATTCATATCTACATTTAAATCGGCAATTATTTATGCAGCTTTGAGCTTTGAGAAGTGCAAAAAAATGGCTTGATAGAAATTTAACTTGTTTACTGCCTCTTTGTACCACTGCTTTTGTCCTTACTGAAGAGAAGCTGCTCTGCCAGTAGGCACCATTGATGTCCTGTGGATAGTTACACAAGTTCAATTGGTTCTTATGTGATTTCAATGCAGGACCAAAAATTGCTTGTCGCTCTTTTCCAATGACCACCGGTGTTAGATATTAATGGCATGATTATCACCCTCATTGTGTGACTGAAGAACTAGGAAAAACTGGCATGTTTGCGGATTTTACTTCGTAACTATAAAAGGCCTCCAACAGGCATTCAATAAATATTCTCTCCCCAAAACTTAGGTACTGCATTGCTTCATCAATATAATGAGAAAAGCTTAAGAAAAACATGGCAGGCTTATGAAGGTGTGAAAATCAAGTTTACCTATTACTATCAACCTATTACTATCAACAGTTATGTATTCATTCACACAACACAGGTAACTACCTTGCCAAAAAGTTTTAAATATTTATAATCTTTTGGCGGTAGGAGGGCATCATAGCCTTATGGTAAAAAAGAACATTTCAAAACTATAGTTAATGCAAGAACAGGTGCTCAGATAATTCTGAGCCAGTGAGTGATAGGAACACATCCTTTAAAGGGAGTCTTAAAATAAAATACAGAAGCAAGCAGAAGTAGAATATATTAGGGTAACTGTGGGAACTAAAAAGGCATCATAAAAGTGTACACAAAATTCCTAGAAGAAATGAAAGACAACACAGAATACATGTGGACTTCATCCTATAATGACCTGAGCCCCTATGCCAAAACATACAGAAAGTGGCACCTGATAAAAACTAATCTGACTACATCTGGAAGAGCTTAGGTCAGATAACAGAAGTCAATTTCTTATGACAGAAATGAACAAATTTGAGGGAAAAAAATTTCATTTAAAGACAGGATGTCAGGAGCTACGGGGGAATAACTAGTGACTGATAATAGTTACAACGTCTCTAATGTAATAAAAATGTAAACTACACCTACTTCCAGTATTCAAGTATTCTTAAGTGGTAGAGTTAGGCTGCTGATACATAATCCACTCCTTTTCACCTCAGCATGAAATTATCAAAAGCAGTTGTTATAGGTAGTATTTTGATAAAAATATGAAATTATCTTAAGCAGTAATAAATACTCCATAGATACAATGAAGACAATACTAATCCTGTTCACAACATTACCAGTATATGTCTTGTTTGCCAACATCTCACCTGAATGGGTGGCCTTCATCTGATTTCTGGATAGCTTGGATCACACCCTTATATATCCTAAAGCTGATAGTCACAGAGAGCAGAGCCAAGGCAATGTAGGCCGTTACACTCACAATGCTGAATACTGTCAGTGAAAGCAGCAGAAATAAGCTGGCACCAAATACAACTCCAGTCTTCTTAATGTCTCTCCAGTAGAGGAGGTCAACAACTAAAAATTTAAAAAGAAGAGGTCATAAATACGAACATTACATTACCCATTTCAATTTGTACCTTTGTATTTGTCCTACATATAAAAATAAGATCTCTATATTAAGTATATGAAATAAAACCAAAACTAAGATATTAACTTCGTAAGCTACATTTTAAATCACCCCTCTAGTAAACTCTATTAGTACAATACCTATACCTGTTTTTCATTTCAAAATATACATCCTAAAAATAAATAAATATACATCCCACAGCTCCAAATCATTCTGGCTGACTAAGATTATTAATCTCTCAAACCCGACATGGCAGACAGACCTTTAATTCAAAACAAAATTTCTTAAAATTCACCTTGTGGAATTTCACCTTATAAAATCATGCAGTGCATAACATATATTTAAATAGAAAAAAATCTTAATATGCATGCACCAAAACTCCCACAAAATATATTTTTAAATTATTCATTATAAAATGCTGAGAACTTAGGGCCCTCTCTGGTGACGCAGCGGGTTAAAGCACTGCACTGAGAAGCTAAAGCCACTTCCACATAAGTTCGATTCCCGCTTACCCCGGAGGTGACCACATGGCGTGGCAAACCTCTCCTGACCCACCCGCTGCTCCCCTCAGCAGTGTACTTCGTTGATCTGCCTGTTCTGAGCCTCTGGCCTGCACCCCAGTTCTGTATGTACAAATAAAATAAATCTTAAAAAAAAAAAATGCTGAGAACTTGGGTCCTCAGTGGTGGCACAACAGGTTAAAGCACAGCACGACAAGCTAGCTGCAGCCTTGGTATGAGTTCAATCCCCAGTCTGGAGGTGTCCACGTGATGTGGCAGACCTCTCCTGTCTCACCCACTGCTCCCCCCTAAGCAGTGTACTTAGTAAATCTGCCTGTTCTGCTTCCCACTCTATCTAGTGAATCTTGTCACCACCCCTGCACCTATGGTCTGTACCCAATCCTGTATGCACAAATAAATAAATCTTGTTTTAAAAAAAGCTAAAAAATTAAAATTTTACTAAGAACTATATACAGAAGTTTAACAACTGCTTTTAAGAAATCTCCTTGAGAAATTTAGCAAAACTGTAAACTAATCTGGCTATCATTAGAACAAAAATTTCCTACAGAGCAAAAGACAAAAAGAAAACTACCTTTATCTGAAAAGCTACTTCCCTCAAGGAGTAGATAAATATAACATCACAAAATTTTAGATGTCAAAGAAAAACTATATGTGTTATACTGTTATATAATGTTTTATTAATAGCAAGGAACCAAACAGCGCCCAACTTAGAAAATCTGCTCTTGGCCTGTCATCACAGGGCCACTGTGGGGATCAAATAATCCCAGGACTGTGGCCTCAAGATCAGGTTATATACAACCCAAGGAGATTTATTGTTCAGTGTGCCAAGGAGATTTATTGTTCAGTGTTCAAAGGCTAAACATAATTTATCACTGTCTGAACTGTAACTGAGAGAAAAGGGGCAGGGAACATTCTTATAGTAAAACAAGTATAAATACGCTAGAACAGAATTTTAAATACCTGCTACATGTTAAGATAAAGGTGGTGACAAAGAATATCCCCATTTGTGGGGACTGTGTTGGTCTTGATCCTCAAGGTTCTCTCAGATATGGGTATCTCCAAGTGGAAAACTATATATGTGAACTACAAAATGTTTGATGTTATAACAAAGTCCTGAGTTTCTATTAGCATGTATTACATGGGTACTAAATGTTTTAAGAGCCCATGAGTGTCTGGCACATAGCAAGAGCAACAACATTTATTATGCTTAGTGAAGTTATTCCATTCTCCTAAATATCACTTGGTTTAAATGCCAATTGAATGTCGTATTCATGATTTACTTGATAACAGTTTTCTGACATTCAAAAAACACTCAGTGAGCTGATAATGTTCAAGGAAATCAATCTAGTAGAATTTGAAAACCTAAAAATGGAGACACAAACTTTCCTGTAAGGTCACGTCCAATTCTAAAACACTCCAAAAAATGGAGACACAAACTTTCCTGTAAGGCCACACCCAATTCTAAAACACTCCACTTGTTGGAAGACACATTAAAAAATGCCAATAACGTAATGTAATGAAATAAACACTGCACGGTTATAATTCAGCAAAGAAAAAAAATCTACTAGAGAATTGTGAAAGAGACAGAAATGATCTGGGTTTTAAAAGAATGGGAAGAATCTATAAAACCTAGAAGTACAGACCTAATTATAACACCTTGATTACCAATGGTTCTAATAACTAACGTAGTTTTCAAAAAGGGTACAGTGATAGGGTAAGAAAAGTAATGATAAAATAAGATGATGAATATAATATACATAACATAGCATATAATAAATTCCTAGTAACTAGCAGGGTTATTTGTCATCTGTTGTTGCTATGAATACACCCACAATCATGATCATATCTTAGCCAGTTATTTAAACAGAAAATGAACTTGTAAATTAATAAATGCTTGAAAACATATTGCTTTATAAAACACTAAAAAGGACTTTAAAAGTTATCTATATGTTCACCACTAAAGTGCAAAAAAAAGTTGATAAGAGAATCAGCAAGTAAGGTACATTAAAACTATTTTTATGTGAATCAATGCTCTTTTATAAAAACAGGTCTGGTTTCAAAGTGCTCTAAAACATGTTCAAAACTATTGGTTAAGTTAAAAGAAATGCAGCCACATCAGTATTCCTCACCATCATTAAAAACTACTCAGTAATAAGAAAAAAACAAAATGGAGGCATTACAATCCCAAACTTCAAGCTGTACTACAAAGCCATAATAATCAAAACTGCATGGGACTGGAATAAGAATAGACATACAGACCAGTGGATTCGAATAGAAAACCCAGATATAAACCCACAAGTTTATGGACACCTAATATTTGACAAAGGAGCAAAGAAGATACAATGGAACAAAGAAAATTTGCAAATGGTGCTGGGAAAACTGAGAAGCTACATGCAAAAAAATGAAACTAGATCACTGCCTCACTCCAGTCACAAAAATCAACTCGAAGTGGATTAAAGACCTAGACATAAGAACGGAAAGCATAAAATACCTAGAATCAAAGATGGGTCAAACACTTCACGACATACACTTCAGCAACATCTTTAAAGATTGAGCACCCAATGCCACAATAGTGAAGGCAAGGATAAATAGATGGGACTTCATCAAGTTAAAGAGCGTCTGTACAGCAAAAGAGACATTACAAAAAACAGCCCACTAGTTGGGAAACATTTTCTCACACAAAAGTAGTGGTAAAGGCCTGATCACAAAAATATACGGAGAACTGACGAAACTCAACAAAAATAAACAACCCCATCAAAAAATGGGCAGAAGAGCTAAAAAGACACTTCTCCAAAGAGGAAATGCAGATGGCCAACAAACATGAAAAAATGTTCAACATCACTCGTCATAAGGGAGATGCAAATTAAAACCACAATGAGATACCACCTCACACCAGTGAGAATGGCACATCTTCAAACAACTAGCAACAACAAATGTTGGCGAGGATGTGGAGAAAAAGGAACTCTCCTGCATTGCTGGTGGGAATGCAAACTAGTACAACCACTATGGAAAACTGTTTGGGGGTTCCTCAAACTGCTAAACATGGAGCTTCCCTACGACCCAGCAATCCCACTCCTAGGTATCTACCCAAAAGACACAAAAACACTGATTGAAAAAGACACCTGCACCCCCATGTTTATTGCTGCTTTATTTACAATTGGAAAAACATGGAAGCAGCCCAAATGCCCAAAGTAGATGACTAGATTAAAAAGATGTGGTACATATATACAATGGAATATTACTCAGCAACCAAAAAAGAGAATCACATGTCTTTCGCAGCAACTTGGATAGAGCTGGAAAAGATCATGCTTAGTGAGATAAGCCAGAAAGAGAAAGAAAAATACTGGATGGTTTCACTCATAGCGGGAGTATAATGGATCAGGCAAGAAAATAACAAGAATAATGAACAGCCATATACCAGAGACATTTTGTGGGTGTGCAGTGGGGAATGGGATCAAAAACGGGGGTGGGGGGATGGGGAGGGAAGTGCACGGGATTATGGTGATGGCACACGGGTGACTTGGTGATGGGAAACCTACAGGGATTACAATTGAGATGGGGAAAAAAATGTACAAAATGATGTAAAAATAAACTTATAACAAAAAAAAGATAAAAAAAAAACTACTCAGTAAACCTAATTATGCAATAAATGATTTAACTACTTATAATTAACCTATGTTTTCTCTATAGATGGCTATATGGTGTAGAAGAAACTATCAGTGACTAAGATTCAAAAGACTCACATCCTAGCACCTGCTCTGTAATCTTGTGATATCAGCCTGCAATTTTCTGGAGCTCAGTTTTATGATTATACTTCAGAAACTAACTTGATTCACAATTAGTACAAAAGTACACTACACAGGAGTCCTGCATTCACACTCCCAATAAGCAGACTCAAATCACCCTAATTTTTCAAGCAATTATAAACTGTATCATTATAATGGTAGACACTGAGTTGAATACAGATTAGGAATTTGGAGGTAACTATTTGAGAGAAGTTTAAAAAAAAAAAAAGTCTGAAAAACTACACATTTTTAAAGCTTGACAGATGTTTTCCAAGTTGCAGATCTGCATCCTTCAATCTCCACCCCTCCCTCTCATTCAAGCAAATTATGTACCAGGCACTTAGCATTATGTCAAACAATGTTTGCAGAATGACTATACATTACCTCTTTCAATTATGGAAACACTTCTGAGGAAAACTTATACAAGACAGGGAGACACATACCTTACATGACTGGGCCCTAAGCACTTAATAAATAGTAGCCTATGGAGCCTAACTATAGTCCTAGTGATTAAACAATTTTTCATGTATGATACAAATTCAAAGCACATACAGTTTTTTTTTTTGCAAGCAAAATAGCCAATTAATTACTAATGGTGATGAATAACAAAAGCAAGAACAAAGTCTAGTAAAATTAAGAAGA